AATATTCGATAGAATACTCGATTAACAAAATATTCCATAGCTGCAGCCCTAGTACAAAACAATGCATGTGATCAGTGAGTGACTGCTCCTTACCAGAGTTCCCCCCCAGTGCCAGCTGCTCTGGGGCAGCGTAGCGAGAGCGGGCATACAAGTAGATGCTAAGCAGGACGGAGATGAGGAGGGAGGCCATGGCCAGCTGCAGGAAGTGGCTGTGGATGTAGGTGAGGTCAACGCCCTGGTGCACTGCTGCTGCTACGGCTACAGCGCTCACCACGATAGCAAAGAAACCTGGAGGGGCACAGAGAGGGTCAGACACAGATGGACAGGCGGAATGTGGAGGACAAAAAGCAAACTAAAAAACTGCAATGAAAGGATGTTGAAAGACAAATGAAAGTAATGGATGAGCCAGCAGTCAGAACTGGTGAATGATCACTTCACGTAGCCTCACCATTGGTCCTGTACTTCAGCCTCTCCCCAGACCTCAGTGGCATGCCTTCACTCAGCTACAGGGGAAACAGAAGAAGTAACAGCTGACCAAGAGCACATTAGAAGAAAATAATACCTTGACTGACATACCAAATACAAACAATACTGTATGTTTAAAAGGTTGATTATATAGGTGAGCAGAAGGTAATCTAAGTTAGTGTAAGATATCAAGAGGCAGAGATGATCCAGGAGAGAATAAACAAGAGCTTCCCTTTTCCTGTGGAGAATCTCATTAACTGTTGCTCCTGACCCTTAATCCAATTTCTGTCTCCTGCCAGAGCTAACCAACAGAAAAAGTCATGTGCTGATTCACGTGGTCATTTCCTGTATCAGTGAGTTTAGTGTAATACTGTACTGATAATGTTACACACTACTATACAGAGGAGAGGGGGGAACAGACGGCGTTTGTGTTAAGGGTGCTCCAAGTGATCGACTACCATTCATTATCAGCCAATATTGATTTGAAATATAAAGGCCAATCCGATGACTAAAATGGTTGTTGCTCGTAGATGTAATATCCATGCTGTCGCTACCCGATCCATACATCCTGCCGATTGCTACTGCACATGTGCAACTCCACAGATTAGAAGGAAGCGAGATGGCTCACACGTTAGCTACTTCCATCATCAGCTATAGAAAAAAACAATGCAGTCTATTCAATTAAACACCAACCGACAGGACAATGGCTTCACTGATCTGGCAGTTCTACCAGGTGCCTTAAAATGACAATACATGTACAATTTGCAATGTGTGTTTCAAGGAAATCCTTTGTGGAGAAAGGCAAACAGAAACACTCAACACCATAAACCTCATGAAACGTTTGAAGGTTAGTCACATCCAGGAATATGACAAGTTTTCAAAGACAGCTAGCACTATGAGAGCGAGTGGGACTGTTTAGCAACTAATTCAGCTGTGAGTAACAGAGACATTACAACAACAGCAACCCTACAACAAGGACAGCAAGAAACTGAAAGAAATATCAGCCAATATAATGGCTGCCTTGATCACCAGCCGCAGTCTATTGAAGATGATGGGTTCAGACGGTTCATGACCTCCATGATCCATGCTGCACTCTGCCAGGGCTAAAATATCTCACTGATGCCTGCCGCAGTGCATACACATATTGACAGCCTTATGAAGGACAACATCACATCAATCAGTTTTACAAGTGACATTTGTGTCCATGTTGATCAAAAAGTGAGCAACTTTATGAATCATACTACTCTGTACCCCCACTCATTGTCTCTCTACCCCTCTGAAAGACCAAACTGCCTCAGCTTCCTAAACAAAAGCCATCATGACAGTGCAGCTGTGTCTGTGTTGTTATTAGAGCGTCAGCGTGCTTTTCTTGACATCCAGAGATGTGAACATAGATGGATGGAAAGACACTCACACACAGCCCTACAGCACGATAAGAGACAGTGGCAAAGCCACAACTTGCAATGGGCCTGGCTTGTTAGGCCTGCCCTGAGAAGTGATAAAGTTAGAGATATAAATAACTTAATTGCCCATCATGGTCTGTTATCTGATAAATGCAAGATAAACTGAGTACCAACTGACTTGAAAGATTTGTTGCAGTAGCAGTAAACCCCATGTTTAGTTCCATTTATTAAAGTAGGTGTGGCGGCCGTGTGGGGGTGGTTTGACTTTCTCTCTCACTCTCTCTCCAGATCTCTGGATTAGGGTGTTCCTATAGCTTATATGTTGAATTTGTAAATATTTAAATAGTTTGTTTGATCTTCTCCCTTCCTTTGTAATTTTTTTAAACCTTTTTATTTAAAATAATATGTCTCCATCACTGTATAAAAGGTAGATAAATAAACTGTTGTCAATTCATGATACTTTCTCACCTCTTAATTTATGCTTTTAAGAATAGTTAAATAAATAATGCTACAAGATATATAAAAGGCTTCGAATACACCCTGTGATCAGTGATTGGTGTTGGTCGATACAGCTACGGTCCCAAAAATGCTGGTAGGAGCACCCTGAATTTGTGTTCAACTACACTGACTTAATTAACTTGTGCGTGTATTTTTATGTGTACAGTTCTCAGCTCTTCTCACTCACCTTTCCAACAGGCAGGATGTAGAGCAGGACCTGGAATAAGACCCAGAGGATGACAAAGCCAAGAGCCTGGGCATCCCAGAAAGCTTCAAGAGGGGGCAAAGGAGGGGGGAAGTTGGCCAGGCTGGGGTCCTCCAGGTTGACTTGGAGTACCAAGAAGAGAACCCAGGCTGGCAGAAAGAGCAGCCAGAAGTATGCTCCTGGAGGAAGGACAAAGCACAACAGGGATACTGATGTCGTCAGTTTGATCAGGTTCAGTTTACCACATTTCACTCACACAAAATAAGGTAAATGTCACATTCCTGAGCCATTTCTCTGGTGGAGAATGTTTTGTTCCAAAAGGAAAGCAGATCATTTTTAACTCTTCTAGATGTGCAGTTTCAAAAATCAGTCTGGCATTACATCTAGACTGATAGTGTCATTATGTTATGATAGCACAGAATGACACACAATATGCATACTGTTCTGATAAAACCATAGGTTCTGTCTTCATCTCCACTACTGAGTCAAATAGTACTGTCAGTGATCAACAAGGCAGCATATTAACACCAACCAAATAAACACAAAGAAACATCTGCTAACCAACACTGTCCTTGTTTACACTGCGTCTGTTGGATTAGAATCAGATTACACCACCTTTAAGCAGCAAAGGATTGTTTGTAAATGACAACTTTACCCAGAGCTGTCAAACTCACTGCTGCACCCGTATAGCTCCACTATAAATCAAGAAAGCTGTTGTTGCCACCTCTCTGTCATCATCAGCCAGGAATACTAAGAAATAATAATGATCAAATGACAATTTACCTGTTGGCCTACAACCCATGCAATATACTGTATGAGCTGACACAGGAAGCTAACATGTAACTGCTTCTTCCAGGTTCAAGGTTATTTCTACAGATAAAATATGCTGCTCTGGACCACAGACTAAGTAACACAACTGTCCTTGTTTACACTGCGTCAAAGAGGCGACACTAACACAACACAACCTCAAACAATGGAAAATTAAAATACATAAATGAACTGTGTGACTAAATCCATTTCTGTGGCCTTCAAAAGCACTGGGCTTGTACAAGGATGTCATCAGTCTGTCCTAAATTAAACTGTGGAACACTTTAGAGATCCTTCTCAGGCTAGTAGCTGCATAGTGACATTCAAGTGAATTTCCTTTCCCTCCTGTAACCTACCTATCTTTCCTCCAAAGTCAAGTGGAGTGGAGAGCGAGGCAGCAGGAGCTGCAGCCAGCTTGGCATCCTTCTCCTCTAGCTTCTCTGGTTTGGTCTCAAGTGCTTTGGCATCTCCGTCGTCCTTCCTGCGGCGCAGATTGTAACGGCCTTGGTTCTTCTCAGACTCCGCCTCCACCTTGGACTCAGACTTAAAATGAAAGAGAGAGGGCCTTATTTAGGAACTTTGACAAACTCAAAAGTTGCACAAGATGTAGCCATGCAATTTCAACTTCAAGTTCTTGTACACCATAAGTGACATAGTGACAGCTGTGGCGGATCAAAAACAGACTTGTATTCATTTTATTGATGAGGTTTCAGTCATCAGACCTTCATCAGGTAAAGTAGGCTAGGTGTTTCAATTTTAATGTTTTGTCTACAGGAACTTAGCTTGATAAGTAAAAAATTGGGGTGAAAAAAAAAACACTAAAATATGTGATTTACAGTTCTAAATTGCACAAAATTATTTTTGTATGTTAATAACGTATGGTTTGTCTTCACTACAAACATTAGAAGGATGGACATAAAAGACTGCACCCAGTGCTGCCAGCACACAGTGCAGTTGAATGCACTGATATACTCTGGCAGAGAAAGATGTATCTACCTTCAGTGGAATACATTTTGGATAAAATAATCTTTTAAGACAAGAAGGACCTTGACTTGAGTCACAATATTAAAATTTTAGGGACGCTATTTTCAGCCTTTAATGCACTGCACTGAGCACTAGTGCAGAATGGTGTTCACTGTGGTTAGTCCACATTGATAGGACAAATTCATGGCAGTAAACTGGTCTAAATCTTTGCATGAATGAAACAATGACATATCTGAAATCATCTGAAACCTACCATATTTACTGTAGGCTTTACTGGTGTTGAGCAATAATATGCCCTGACACAAAATATTTCTTTTTATATATAAGCTAAAACACCACAGAACTGGTAAAAGCTTTTCAAGTGGATGACATTCAATTTTAAATGAATACGTAAGCAGAAGATTAGAAATTATAAGTAATGATAAAATAAAATTCCCTCTCTTATTCATTTACAGCACTTGGTGATATTTGAGTTCAATCAAACCAAAACAATTTTTTGTAAATCTCTTTATGAAGTAACCTCAAGGTTTTCCTTTCTCTCTTAACTAAAAAAATACTTTCTCAAAGCTACGACTAAGCTCCTGGGTTTTTCTCAGAAAGCTTCTCAGAGGGTATAACTATCCAGGGTTAATGATAGGTCACATAGCCATACAGACTAACAATGACCTTAGAGGCCGGCTGGTTTAAAAACAAAACAACAAAGCAAGAACGGACAAAACAAAGAAAAACTGAATTGAAATAACACATATTAATGGGATTTAAAAAAAAATCTGAATTCGATTAAGAATCACAGATGTCTACCATTCTACACTTTGTCTAGACGTGGGACCCTGCGAAGCTGTTAGAACATTTTAAAAGGCATAGAAAGTAAAGACGTGGCACATGTTGGTACGCCATGTGACTGGCTAAATGAAGCACGATCTTGTGAGGGGAGCCTCTCTCAACTGGAAAACACACACATGGCCCCCCCAACGTGCATGCATCATGACATTCCACCAGCTCTGACTTTCCTCAAAGCCCATTCACTATTAGAAAGTCAATAGTGCCTGGAACATCAGTTGTTTTGTTTTTGTAATACTGTCTATCTGACAAAAATTAATTTCAACTCAACAGAGATGCGACTTAAGAATAAAGAAGTAGGCTTATTGCTTTCTAGTGCAATCTAGTCCAAAGACATGATGTATTTAACATTGCACTTTTTGCACACGTTGTTGAGTGTATTTGATGACTCTGGTGTGTATTCATCTGTATTTGTGTTCATGTGAGAGTAATAAGGCAATGACAATGTCCCACTTGTACTGTATTGTTACATTTTTAATTAGAGTTTATATGGACCTTTCCAAAATGTACAAACTATCTAAAACATTTTTCAATTTCAACATAAAACTCACCTCATTTACTTTGTTAGCAGTGTTATTCTCTTCTTTTTGTTTCTCCTCTTTCTTTTCATGCTTATTGTTGCTATTGTTCTCAGCTGCTTTTGTCTGTGTCTGCCCATGAAACAATGGAGGGAGATTGATGGAGATGGAAAGAGACAAAAAGGGGAAAAAAGCAACGTGAGGAACAGGCAGAGGGAACGTGATGTTATGGTCAAAATCCAGAATGACAGGAACACGTTTCCTTTATTCCTTTTCCCTTATATATTATTATCATATAATAGTGCCATCTCATCTACAGTGATATATAATGTTTCATTATCCTTGTGGCTTTTTTGGTAGTCTTTGCTGTCTTCATGATCATGGGTACAAGGAAAAACTGACTATTGCACAGACTGCTGTATGCAGGGTATTTCCTTTTACGGTGCAAATGAAACTACAGCCTCGGTTTGGTGTGGTTAACATAATGTAATTACCCAAAACCACCTGGTAAAGCTGTCACAAGCATGAAATCCTAGATAACAAGTAATTGTCATACAAATAATTGTGATATGTATTTTTATTTTATGCCACCCAACGGGGATGTTGTGTTTGGCTTTCTAATTAGAAAAGCTTGATAGAAGTGATAAAATTCCAGTGGTTTTACACTTGTGAGGTGTTTTTTGTTTTTTTAATTCCAGGAAGAGTTTATGCAACAAATAAAAGAAATTGTCAAATAAATAATGAATATGCGAATATCAATAATATCAGCTGTTTGGTCTGATTACATTGCACAACAATTCTTAACTGGGTTTCAACATGCTGAAATTAAAGTTGGGGTACGCGATTCTAAAGAAATCAAATAGCAATGGACAAATACCATGACACAGATCTAACAACAACAACAGCTGGAATGGCTGGAATAACAAGTTAGTGCTGTGTGGCTCGGTCCAAACCACTTTGTTTGTTTCCCAGTTACCGAGCCAGGACTGTGTACGCTGGATTTTTTTCAGCGCACACAGAGCTTAAAGCTTTCGGACCGTGGGAAATATTTGCTGGATTTGACAAAAAGTCTGTTGGATTAGAATCAGATTACACCACCTTTAAGCAGCAAAGGATTGTTTGTAAATGACAACTTTACCCAGAGCTGTCAAACTCACTGCTGCACCCGTATAGCTCCACTATAAATCAAGAAAGCTGTTGTTGCCACCTCTCTGTCATCATCAGCCAGGAATACTAAGAAATAATAATGATCAAATGACAATTTACCTGTTGGCCTACAACCCATGCAATATACTGTATGAGCTGACACAGGAAGCTAACATGTAACTGCTTCTTCCAGGTTCAAGGTTATTTCTACAGATAAAATATGCTGCTCTGGACCACAGACTTTGTTGCCTGGTGACATCAACAACAACAACAAATGCACAACAAGTAAAGTTAATTGATGGTGAATCTACATGTGCATGCAACACACTCATGTAGTTATCAGCAGTAAACAGTATAACTGTACATGATACAGTATCTTCATTTATGTATTTACTATAAGGCATTTTCTGACCTGCATCTATACACTTGTACTGATTAGATGCTTTGATCTACCTCTTTCTGCACACCAGCTTCTGCAGCTATACCAGTGCTGAGACTGTAAAGGCAGCTGTGGCACTTACCAGGGGACTGATCCTGACTTCTGGGGTATCCTTCAGCTTTGCATCCCTGCGGGAGGACGGTGCACTTTCTGTTATAGCTGCAGTAGCGACGGCCGCCGCTGTGCGGGAAGACGAGCGCCGCGTGGTTCTCGCTGGGGAGCGCGACCGGCTACGACGGCGGCCTGGTGATCGAGAACGAGAGCGGGAGCGAGAGCGGGTCTGGAAACCAGCAGCATTCTGAGAGAAAACAGCAAGTGAAACAAAAAAAGAGACTGCAAATATTAACAATTTCTGTAGATGAAACTGAATACAAAAAAAATGTCTACCTCATCTCGTGTATAATATAGTAAGTCCACATACTACTGAAACTTTACACTACAGGGGCAAGAAGAGGTTGTCTGCAATGCTTGTGCAGTACAATTGGAATCCCTCAAAATCATTAAATAGTTAAGACATTTTCAAAATGAAATTGAGCATCATTTGAGTGTTTCGGCATTAGGCAGTCTTCTAGCAGTGATACTACACCATGACAATGAAAGTATAACAATTATAACAGCATTATAATGAGGTACTATGGTTGTGAAGAGATGCCCTGGCCTACAAATCTAGTTCTCCAGCTGTAAGAAAACATACATGTTTGGTATAGACCCCCATACATTTCACAGCATCATAATTTTAAGGGTTTTTGTTCCAGTGAAAATGAAATATGTGATGCAAAAATGCTCATTCCCACACTAATTCTTACCATATAAGGCAGCCCTACCTAGTTTGTGAGCTAAAGAAACATAATCATGAGGGCCAGTATCAGCAGTACAGTTTGGCTTAGGCCATAAAGTGGGCCAATTCATTTTTATTTGTAGTTTTTTTAATTCCATTTGAACCATTCCCTAACAAACGTAAACTGATTAAGACCAAGATTGTACAGAAACAAAAAGTTACATGAAACTGAGAAACGAGTTTGTAAGTCTCTCTGTCACCCTGGGGATACCTTGATGTCTTGCTCCTTGAGCTCCAGCTCAGTACCATCCTTGTAGATGACGGTGTAAAGCTGACTGTTGGCATCATAGTGCAGCACCTTGACCTCATAATACAGGCTGCTCCCAGGCCAGCGGCCCATCACCATCTCCCCTTTCTGATACTTCACAGAAGGCATCGTCATTGGCCTGAGAACAAGTGAAAGACAACAAAGAGTGACAGCAGAACAAAGACAGAAAGAGAAAGTGAAAGAGGGAGGGCAGGAGATATAAGAAGCAAAGACGTGTTTCAATTTTAGGTAGTATAGAAGCCATACAGAAGCAGTGTACTGTGTATTGGAATTATTTAACAGTCAGTTCAGTGCAAACATAGTTTGCCATTGTTAAGTACAGTGAAGAAGAAGAACTTAAGACAACGACCCGGCCCTTTGTGTTTCCATACAGTCCACTGCAGCACAGCATGAGCTCAAACCTCCACAATCTGCTTGAATGACAACTGAACTGTCTCAATATCTCAATGGGCTCATTGTCACTCACACTGCATTGGCAGTTCCATATTTGACATACAACTTTCTGTCTGTCCACTGCATTTACATACAGTGTAACTACTGCTGGACAACAATTCTGCTTTACCATGTAATGGGATTTCAAAGAGTAATACAATAGGAATTATTGACAACAGTTATGGCAAGTTATTGTTCCGTTCCCATAATAAATGAAGCTAAATAGTGGGCCGATTTAAACTAATCACAAACCAAAAGAAAAAACCACTGGTTTACCATACAAACAAAACAAAGCAGCAATTATACAGTTTATCATGTGGTAGTACTTAGCAGATGTTCTACTAATAGGCACAGGGCCAAGGATTAGAGCGAGCATGTACAGGAGACCTTAATTTCAGCTAAAACAGGAACTGAAGCAGAGGAGAAAATCACACCCCCACTACTACAACATGGCCAGAGATGAGCGGGCTGTTCTGGCCACTCCCCCAGCCATTTACTCTTAAAAATAATTCACCCTAGGACAACATAATAAACTCTTCTACCCAGTGTCTATAGCACAACCTCTGGGGCAATCCCTCAACTACACAGAAAAAAAGAAAGAAAGTGCACTCAATCTGAGTTTCTGAGTTCTTGTTTTTCCTTTTTGTTAGTTTTTTACTGAGGTGTGAAACTAACTTGGCAGGTGTATGGTGCGACTATGTGAGGTCATATTTGTCACATAACTGCCATGCTAGTTATCCGTGATAAAGGTTCTTCAGCTGTACCTGCTTCAGTATTGTTCAGATATTTGTAAAGAGGCTATTTACCAAGAGTCAATAACATAACACATTGCTTTTAGGCTGAATTGTTTTGCTTCATTAAGAATATGAATTAGACCATTTAAACACTACATTTTGAATTTAAATAATCAAAAATATTAACCACCATTGTTCCTCTGTTTATCTTCAGAGTTAGTTAGTACACCTGATCAAATTGTATACATGTTACATTTTCAAAACCACCCAAACATTTTGAGAGCCTGGGACAAGCTTCATTAACTAACACTTTAGAATGACAAAATCCTACTGTAGTGTGCACCGCTGGACACAATGAGGCAGGCCAGGCCAGGTCAGCATTATGGAACATTAGGGAGCGTGCTCAGTGTCTAGAAAACCACCACACTACTGCAGAACTGCTGACAGGTCTGTCCCTGCTAGGTTTACCCAAAGCTGTCTGTCTGAAAGTGTGGGAATCAAGTCACCAGCCAACCAGGCAAGGAATTCTAGCCCAGCCAAAGTGCCAATGATAGGGAACTAAACTGTGGTTGTGGCTGTTGAGTCCGCCAACTCTAGCAGCCAGTTTGAGGACAACCTACAAATCTGAGTGGACTCAGAAAATGGTGATAACGGCTGGTCAGTTATATTACTACAGTTCTGTGGACAATTAGGATTTTCCCCCATACGGCAGAAACCAACACCTGATTCATTTACACATGAAAAATAATAAAAATGTCAAGTCAAACTCTGCAGACATACTTGTTACAGACAGCTAAGTAAACACGATCTATAAAAACGGAGATTAACCGGAAGCACGTGCATGTTTCTGTTACTCTGAATCATCTCATCTTGCCACTGCCAGCATAAGAACGGACGAAGCACTGCAATATGTAAGAAAGGTTTGATTAGTAGCATTAACCAGAAGGTACACGTGGGGAGAACAGGCTTTGGCTTCAGCAAAGCACATTTAGGTCTTTACATCCAGTTCTCTACTGGTGACAGTGTTAGCCCCATAACATAATGACAGCTTCCTGTCTGCAGCCTTGCTAATTAAAATTCCAGTGGCTAACACAGCGCCATGCTTCAATAAACAGCAGGTAGCATGTAGAAAAAGTTCACACAAGTTGTTTACTACACTGAGAAATGAAGCATCATACACATATTACACGACCCCTTCATGTTAAATGTGACAGCTCAGCTGGTTGTTGACTACTAAACCACTCTACTGTGCAATTAAAACCCAATGTGTACTTCAGAAATATCCTGTAAGCCTTTCTAAACAATAAATAACTCAAGTGATTAACAGCAAAGGCCAGGGAGAAGTTGGCTCACCAGGATTATTACAAATAGGCAGAGAGAATCAAACACACACAGTCAAGCCCCAATCCACTGCTAACTGATCTCACAAAACCCACAACATGGAGTGAAAAACATCTCAACATGACACACCCAAAGCAAGTCCCTGTGCTGCTCTCCTGGCTCGCCTGCCCAGTTCCATATGGGATGTGGAAGTCAGATCTGAATGGTGACTGATGAGAGTTTCCCATCAGATCTCAGGCTGGGCTGATGAAAGGATCAGAGCTGTAGCGTGGGTGGAGTTTTAAATAAAGTCAGGCAGACATCCCCCCTTTGTGCTGCATAGGGCTGTTTAGCTCCACCTGGTATGCAGCCCCTTTGAAATGTCATGTGTGTGTTAAGTTGTAAGACCCTACCAAAGAGGCGATAACCTGTTGTGTTAACGTTGCACAGCGGTAGGATACATCTGAAAAACCGGCAATAGGAATAAGGCAGATCACTCACCGCAACACAGACTTTACTCCTATATTAATGCGACCTCATATGTCAACTGTATGTACTGTAAAGTCGCAACATCCTCTGTTATCTTTGTAGGACTATCTAATGGAAACCATCACAATCTAGTAACACTAAGCAACAAATGTAAACTAACGCTGTGCTTTAAAATAAACTGAATGAATGGGAGATGCTTGCTCTTTGGTGACATCTTTGCTTGGACTTGTATTGTCTCCTGCGCACTTTCCATTGCGTTATAGCATAATTACGACCAACTTAGAGCACCTTTATTTATTATTTTGTTAAAAAGGTATCTGCCGGCTTTTACTCTCGCGTCCATAATGGGATATGTCACTGCTTGACCTACGAATTCGAGCTTGGTTTGTTTTCTTGAGTAACAGTGTCTTAGCGTTATGCCCTTTGTACCACAACTCAACTGTAATGTAAAGGAGCTGTTTCTGTAACAAACTGCGCCTAACGTTAGCTTTGTTAGCTTCAAGATAGCCGTGATGCAGCAGCAGGCGACAGAAAGGAAAGGAGGGAAAACGTCATGCATTCAAATACTGTTGGCGAAGAAACCAACGCATACGTCAAACAGTCAGCCCGTCAGCACAATAAAGTTCGACAAAACTAAACTCACTCACAGTAACGTTACCCCGGAACAACGTTTTAATGTATGGGAACCATGGATTCAAACACCCGACTGAGGTAGCGTTAGGGTTACACTCTAATAAAGGTTATCTTTAACTAAGCAGGCACAGTCTAGTTTCTGAGCGTCGTTAATCTCTGTTAGCGCATTGCGCGTCCATAACGGTGCAGTTACAACTCAGTTAACGTAACAATGCGGCTGACCAGAACTATTAAACATGTCTAATACAACCATAAACTGTTATACGGGACGTCGCCAGCACATGATATAACCTTATTATTTTACTTAGACCAGTGGAAACAAGTTTCAGATTTCAGGAACTAGTCGGAGCCTAGAGCGCCGTTATACAGCTTGAGTTAGCTTTGGCTAAGCCCCAGTTTCCCAACAAAGGCAAACGTAAAACGATTTGTTATTATGCATCACAAATATATGCGTGGACGGCTGCACTTACCTTAAAAGTACGCAATTAATTCCAGTGAGTAACACTGATAAAATAATCCTTAACGAGACGAGGAATTAATAAATTAATCTTAATATTTTAAAAACGGACTTTCCTCACGTTTGACGTAGAGCTCGTTCTCCCTCCCTCTCTGGGCAAAACCCACCAGTGACTAGAAAGGCGCGAAGGCCGCTGATTGGCTATCTCAGCGTTCATTTCAAACAGCTCTGCAATCTCATTGGCTATCGGTGGATTTTAACTGTGTTGCGATTGGCTTTGAGGGAGTCACGACTACTTTGTTTACTGGTGTAAAATTACCGTCAGACAAAATGGTAGAAGCGGCAAAAGCAGATATCACATATTAAACTAACTAACGATACACATCCCAACACTAACACAGAGGCTATAATGGAAAATAATTCGCACTGAATTGAACATAATGTCATGGAAAAATATTCAAATAGTATAGATTCACTTAAATGTATTATTAAAAGAAATTGCATTGTATATTAATGTAAATATAAACATATAATAATTCCCTCTATATTTAATTATGTATCCTTTTAGATGAGCAGAATTTTGGTGAAATTGAATGAAAATCAACTGAATTTTGACAATTTAGTCTGTTTATATCCATTCTTATATTTTATACTCATGGCAAAAGTGTTTTTTTATGTTTAATAAAAGCTGAAACAAAGAGGGAATTGTATGTTGTCCATATTTCTGGAGGAAACCTGTTATCATAATAGTACTGTACGACTTTGTTTTTTTGTTTGCTCTGGGCACAGATGCATTAAATCACTTGGTGGGGTCAGTATAGGCTGCACTTGTGTTGCACAGTGTTTAGATGTGAGGCATTTATCATAGCATAGTTACTAAATACATATAAGACACTTCTTTTGCACAGTGTTGCACAGTAAGCAATTAACTGTCCTCATATGTCTGGTATGCCGAGGAAAGCGTGCATCAAAAAGTTAAACGTCATCTCAACAACAAAGCAGGAACCAATACATGTAATATGTTCCCTACTATATTTAAAAATGTAGATAACAACTCTCACTGTGATATTATTTCCTCATTATCTCAATACCATAAAAACAGCAGACATTACGGGGCTCTGCACTCTTAGGTCTCCCTCCAAAGCGCTTCAGTACAAAACGTTTCAGTTTAAGTGAGTTATATTTAATTTCACCTCACAACCTTACTCTTCTCATCATGGATTCATTAAATTGGTTATTATATTTTATACCAGAGCCTCTCTGTGGGAAAGTGCACCATCAGCTCAAAGTGACTGCATCAAACTGCCTCCAGCAGTGAGCCAAGTGAAGAGGAGAGTCAGTAACAGCTGCAGGCCGTGTCTTATTTGCATATGCTTCTGGTAGACCTGACTGTTGACACATTATTCACACCTGCCGCTCAAATATACCCAAAGCTCATGAACACAGTAAGAGGAAGAAAACTGATTTTTAAAATTCAAACTCTCCAATCCAATTACAGCATCAAGGTTTTTCTCAGCTTCCTCGTCTTTCTCTCTGCATAGCTCAGGGTGTTTTCCTGTGTTTAGTGCAGCTTTCGCCACAGCGCAGCACAGCCCCTTTCTGGCTGCAAGTCAAACAAAACCTCAGATGAACTGCAGATGTACTGCCAGACCTCTCTATGCCCCGCCCACAGGAAGTGTTGCTGTTGTAAAAGTGAAGCAGCTCGCAGACGACCAATAAAGTGCGGGAAGCCTATTTTAATCTCAAACACTTCAGTGACTTCAGCTTTTCGAGTCTCACCCAGAAACTTTATGAGATGATTATGAAATGAATAACTAATAACAGAAAGTCAGATATTTACATTTAGACAATCAACTTTTTGGCTTCCACATTGTTAACACAATTACACAGAGAGAAATATACATAATTGAATATGCAAAATACCATATCCACGAACCCAAATATACAAATCCAAAGCCTTTATTCTCATTATTCATCAGGTATCAGTGATATAAACCCTTCAAATAATAAGAAAAGGATTAAAACATGCATTATTTAAATGCACACGCTGGCTGTACATGAGTCACTAGCATAAAAATAAAGAATACTCCTAACACCCCCTTCCTGGTGCTTTCCAGTTCCCTCCTCTTTTCCCTCAGCTCCCCTCTTTGTTCAACCTGTCTCTCTCACGTCATACATGCTGCATTAGATGGACAGCTGAGCTGCAACTGGAAGCTTCTGCAAGTACACAGAAGCAAAGATGAAAACAAATAGTTGCGTAAAAGTGGAAACAAATGACAAAACCCTGATTTTACACAATCAAAAGAGATAAAGACATTGAACAGGTGCGATGTATTTGACTCTGGAGGGGACAATCAGTGTAAAATCCTCTGAGAATATTCCTTGTAGCGGAGCACACTCAAAGTGCAAACCACAACTTCAAATCTTGGTCTCAACCTCAGTGCTGTCGTCCTTTCACACAGCTTGCTAACGACACAACTGCAGAAAGGCAAGCACACGGTGCAGGCTTGAAGAAAAAAAGCTTCACATTTTCAGTTAGTCTTCCTCTTCCTGTTCTCTTCTGCTGAGCGTGAATGTGGAACAGTCAGACATGTTGTCACAGCTACTGGGCTGCAAAACAGGTTGACCTGGCTGACAACAGATGTGGGCACACAGAGGAGAGAATAAGGCCTGCAGGGAATTCAAAGTCTTTATTCACTTAAAGTGAGACATCGTAACTTTTCAAAGAACACATAAACAGTCTTCTTCTTAGAAATTAAATATTGAATTTATAAGAAATAGAACTCATTGCTCAATTCAATACACCCAGGCTTTGCTGCTACAGACTCAGTTGGTATTCATGGTGGCTAATGTTAGCAAACTTTATATTGCTGCGTAACTTATAATTACTGATTCAGTTCACTAACTTAAAGTCCCCTCCAGTCAGAAATCAGTGTTTTTTCTTGTCCCTACAGTGTGCTGTTTGAATGCAGTCTGTGCAAAGTTTGACTCTAGAAGGATGT